TACCTGGAGTTGAATATTATCCTGCCTTACTAGGCTGGGAAAATTTTCCTGAATAATGTCCTGAAGCGTATTTTCCAGCTTGGATTCATTCTCTTCGTCACATTCAGGTACACCTATCAAGCGTAGATTAGGTCTTTTCACGTAGTCCCATATTTCTTGGAGACTTTGCTCGTTCCTTTTTATCCTTTTTTCTCTAATCTTGTCTTCTTGTTTTATTTCATTGAGTTGGTCTTCGACCTCTGATATCCTTTCTTCTGCTTGATCAATTCGGCTGTTAAAACTTGTGCATACTTCACGAAGTTCTCCTATTGTGTTTTTCAGCTCCATCAATTCACTTATATTCCTCTCTAAATTGTGTATTCTTGTTAACATTTCGTCAAATCTTTTTTCAAAGTTCTTAGTTACTTTAGATTGGGTTAAAACAAGTTCTTTTAATTCACAGAAGTTTCTCATTATCCACATCTTGAAGCCTGCTTCTGTAATTGGAACACACTCGTTCTCCATCAAGCCTTGTTCCGTTGCTGGTGAGGAACTGGGATCCCCGCTGAGGGAGAGGCGTTCTGATCTTGGGTATTCTCAGCCTTTTTTGGCTGTTTTCTTCCCTTCATTATAAATTTATCCATCTGTGGTCTTTGTATTTACCGTCTTTGTAATTGGTTTTCTGAGTGGACGTCCAACTTATTGATTCTCAGCGCCGAAATCTGAGCAACCCACTGTGCCGACTAAATCAGCGGCGTTAAGATTGATGGTGCTTTTCTGACTCTGCACCAAGAACCGTCGCTCCGAGGCGCCGGCAAAACCGCCTCGCCGGTCACAAGAGTCGCGCTGGCGACCCGTGGGGCTCCTCCGCTGGGAATCTCCTGGTGCCTGAGCAACAAGAATTCATGTGAAGGTGAGGCGTCCTCTCATACTTTGCGCTTTCACTGGGAGCTACAATCCCGAGCTGCTAGTGGTCGGCCATCTTGGATCTCTCTCCCAACAATTTTTATGTATAATTTTGTTCAGTGCACTTTATCTTTTTTTCATGCATAAACCACATCTGTAATGTGTAGTCAAGAATTTCTAGTTTCTGTTTATGTAAATTGGAAGTAGAATCCAAAGAAATATTCAAAGCAATATGAGTGCAAGATCATAGGTCTTTATTATTTTTAACCAAATTTTATAGTTATCCTGCCCATTTAACAGTTGTTTAGCACTTTGTGTTTAGTGAGACAAACTACGTAATTATAGTAAAAATTATTATTGACATAAACAGACATGGGAATAAACCCTTCTGACTCCTTGTAAATATACAGTTCTAAACAGTGACAGCAAAGTGTGCAGTTACACTGGAGAGCAGCCAGTGTAACTGCACCAGTTGGGAGCATTTAGTATGAGTCATTAATATCAGTCATTATTGTAAAGCAGCAATGGAGAAAATCCATTGATTGCTCTATCTGTTGAGTAGAGGTTATTTAAGAGCATTTGTATTAGTAGTCCTTACAACAACTCTGCAAAGAGAGCTGTATTCCTCATCTTAGAAAGAGGACGTGATTTGCCCAAGATCCCATTGCTAGCTGAGAGATCTCACTGCTAGCTAGGGCCTGGTCTTGGCTATGACTGAGCCAGGACCAGGACCTGGGCCTCAGTTATTTCAACCATTCATTCCATAAAGCCATGAGACTTTTCTTTTATTATCTACATGTGTTTTAATCTCAGATTTACTTCATTTATTGTCCATTATCATAAATTAGTAAATAGGATTCTGCATTGGGAAATGTTTTTCTCTGGACCTCTTAATTATTTTTTTTTTTTATGAGGGTTCTTACTCACCATGCTTTCTACCTTCCCTTCCTGCCTTCTTCAGCTTTATCTGATTGTCGTCTCACCTTTGTCATAAGGTCACAGTTCACTTGATCGGGTGGCTTGTATCTGAACAAACACTTTCTAATTCTTGAGAGGTCCACTCCATTGCTACCTACAAGCTTGGATTCTAAGCAAAATCTTACTCATCATAGATGTACTACCATTTGTTCATTTCTTATTTTCTTCTTTCTTTTCAAAGCTACATCCTGTGCCTCTAAATCTCCCGATTTCCTCTCCATGACTAATTTTTTTTTAGTGATTCTTTTTTTCTTCCAGTGGTGCCATTCATTCCTCAATGAATCAGCATCAGTGAGATCAGATTTAATGATCCTTGACACAGCTTTGATGAGACACTTTCTAGATAGATGTTTCTAAATAAAATGCATCTACTGATTAGCCACATTCAAACAGAAGTTATCACCACCACCACCACTACCAAGTCTCTTATTTCCCAGGGGCTTCCCAAGCCGGTGTTACTGGTTTGTGTTTCCTTTCCGGAAGGCCAAGTCTACTGTTTCTGGAACAAGGACGGTAGCTGTATAAAGCTGCAGTGGTGCAGAGCTAGTAGTGTCTCTGGCCCTTCATTGTAGAGTCAGTCTTAGGATATTCATACCTCTTGGCATTGTGTTGTATTTTCAGTTGGAATTCGAATCCTAAAAGATTCCTTTGATTAACTCTTAGCACACTGCCTTAATAAACTGCCTGATCTCCCAGGCTCTGATAGTTTACTTTTTAAGCCACCTTATTCTTTCATGGTCCAGTGTTTACTTCTCTGCAGGCATAGTGGGTTGTTAACATTAGCAGGTTCTTCCCTAGAAAGCAGACTCAGGAGAGAAAAAAAGACATTGGCAGGGTCCCTATTGCCCTTTTCCTAAGCAGGTGATTGTAATCTGCTTAAAAAACAAAGAAACTCTTAGGGAGTATTAGAGAAGCCCTTAGCGTTTTCACTTTCTGACTTCTTTGTAAAGGACAGATTAGCCTATTCTGAGCGAGCTTTGAGACAACTGATTTACCAACCCTCTCTCCAAACCCCTATCTCACAGACTTTTATGTTGCTGTAAATAACCACTTCCTCCCTCTAATTAGTCAGGCCAATCTCCTTGTACTCATACTTGCTTCTTATCTTTTTCCCCATACCCTATATCTGATTTGTTTTCAAATGTTACTTCTTTTTCCTTCAAAACAGTATCCAGAATGTGACCCCTTCTCACTACCTCCACCCCATAAGTGAATTAACTCTAGGAGTTACTCGTGCCCATCTGTTGATCTCAGTTGTGGGCCATCTATTCTGGCTTTCCCATTGCTTGTATGGAGCCTTGACATGAGGGCAGATTAGGGAGAAAGGCTCTGGCTCCACAATATCTACTTTCACTTCCTCTTGTTTCTTGTTTGATTTCATCCAGAGAAAGGAGAAATGACAGGATAAAAGTTTCAAGACACTGTTAAGTTAGTGATAAGAGAGGCCCAATAACAGCTCTCATGAACAAGACTCAACCCTTGCCAGCTGAGTATCTTCTGTTATGCACATTTGCAGATTTGAAAATGAGAGGAGGAAGAAGAGAGAAGGAAATGTTTTGTACAATTTGCTCTTTAAATCGAGAGGCAGTTTTGCATAATGGTTAAAGAGTGCAGACTTTAGAGCCAATCAAACTCGGTCTGAACCTGCCCTAGCCATGTGATTCTGAGCACATTGTTCTGTTTCTCTGTATATTAGTTGTCTTTTAAGATGGGGTTAAAACTAACCTTTGCCCTTACTTCATATAGTTTTGAAGATTAGGTACATGTAAGGTAATTAAACAGTCCCAATACATAGTAAGCTTAACATTCTTTTTCTATTTTTTTATTTTTATTTTTATTTTTATTTATTTATTTTATTTTATTTTATTTTTTTTGAGACGGAGTTTTGCTCTTGTTACCCAGGCTGGAATGCAATGGCGCGATGTCGGCTCACCGCAACCTCCGCCTCCTGGGTTCAGGCAATTCTCCTGCCTCAGCCTCCTAAGTAGCTGGGATTACAGGCACGCGCCACCATGCCCAGCTAGTTTTTTGTATTTTTAGTAGAGACGGGGTTTCACCATATTGACCAGGATGGTCTCGATCTCTTGACCTCGTGATCCACCCGCCTCAGCCTCCCAAAGTGCTGGGATTACAGGCTTGAGCTGCCGCGCCCGGCTTATTTTTATTTTTTTTTTGAGACAGAGTTTCACTCTTGTTACCCAGGCTGGAGTGCAATGGCGCGATCTCGGCTCACCGCAACCTCCGCCTCCTGGGTTCAGGCAATTCTCCTGCCTCAGCCTCCTGAGTATCTGGGATTACAGGCACGTGCCACCATGCCCAGCTAATTTTTTGTATTTTTAGTAGAAACGGGGTCTCACTATGTTGACTGGGATGGTCTCGATCTCTTGACCTTGTGATCCACCCGCCTCGGCCTCCCAAAGTGCTGGGATTACAGGCTTGAGCCACCGCGCCCGGCACATCCTTTTTTTTTTTTTTTTTTTGAGACAGAGTTTCACTCTTGTTACCCAGGCTGGAGTGCAATGGCGCGATCTCGGCTCACCACAACCTCCGCCTCCTGGGTTCAGGCAATTCTCCTGCCTCAGCCTCCTGAGTAGCTGGGATTACAGGCACGCGCCACCATGCCCCGCTAATTTTTTGTATTTTTAGTAGGGACGGGGTTTCACCATGTTGACCAGGATGGTCTCGATCTCTTGACCTTGTGATCCACCCACCTCGGCCTCCCAAAGTGCTGGGATTACAGGCTTGAGCCACCGCGCCCGGCCTCGGCACATCCTTTTTTTGAAGCCAATCTTCCAAGTACAATTGTAGACCTTACTCTTTCTGATGGCATATGGAACTATAAACATTTTGATGATGAGCCGTATTTCAGTAACTGCATTTCCCTAGAGTAAGGCTCTTCTCCTTGCTTGTACAGTAGAGAGCTGTTCTGAGGGACAGTGACTATACATTAGTGCATTAAGCTCCGCAGAATCACCAGTGCTGCAGTGAGTCTTAAGTCCTTAGTATATTACTGTTTAATCAAATGAATAATACAACAAACTCTATTTGTTCTTTTTCTCCTTGCCCTGCAACAGAATGGTTCACATTTGAGCAAAGACAGGAGAGTTTGTTTTCAGAATGACATACTAGTTTGCAGGATGAATTTCATAACTGACATTACCCCTTGGACTACAACTAGGACTTTCATTGGAATCAGGTAGAACTGGCCATGAAGGAGAATTACAATGACAGATGGCATGCTTTATTCAATATTCTTTTTATAGAGGCCCCATCACAACTGTTTCTAGGTACGTTAATGTTCCTTAGAGTTCTTTCTAAACCAACATCTAGGAATGTGTAAAGAAGGGCAGCAGCAATTAAGTGACAAAGAACAAGATTTTCGTGTGTCCTACGTATTGAAAATTGCCCCAGCATGTTGAACAAATCAGGCTAGCAGCTGGGGGTAGGTTTAATCTGATTTGTTCAGTGCCCAGACAATCAATTGACTGTTCTCTTTGCCTCATCATCTCTTTCTTCTTCCAGGTTTGTTTGCTTGCTTTTCTATTCCTCGGTCCTGGATTTTCCTGTCAGCGGTGTCAATTGTCCTTCCCCTACTAGTTTTTACTATGTCTCCATTGTCACCTTGACCCTGACTCTGATTATCCAGGGTGAAGACTGGATAACTAGATCTTTACATTCTAAATTAGAAGATTTCCTAAATCCTCCTTTCTCTCTTAGGATCAAATATTGTCTTCACTTAAAGGGAGCTATGAACTTTCAGTGTGCTGGATGAAAGCACCATTGTTCTTTTGGATGGGATAATTTTTCAGAGGGCATTGCAGGATGGTTAGCCTCCCTGGCCTCAGGCCCTAATGCCAGTAACCCATTACCAGTCATTCTGGCCACCAAAAATGCCTTTACACATTTCCAAGTACCCCACAGAGTAGTGGTATAGTCTGTGGTTTAGAACCACCAAAATATGGGCAGTTAGCAGCATTCTACCCAAACACTGGACTCGACAGCTCACTATCAACCATTCTTTATGTCTAGAGGAAACTTAGCTATTAAAGCCACTAAATTTGTCCCATTCTGAGACTATAACAGCCACTTTTTAATTTTCAAAATCTAAGATGTTAGGAAGTCCAAGATTATTTATTGGTAGGTTTTATATATACAGACATGCACCACATAACAAAATTTCAGTCAGTGACAGAGCATATATATGACAGTAGTCCCATAAGATTATAATACCATATTTGTCTGTACCTTTTCCAACTTTAGATATGTTTATTTATTATTATTATTATTATTATTATTATTATTTGAGACGGAGTTTCGCTCGTTACCCAGGCTGGAGTGCAATGGCGCGATCTCGGCTCACCGCAGCCTCCGTCTCCTGGGTTCAGGCAATTCTCCTGCCTCAGCCTCCTGAGTAGCTGGGATTACAGGCACGCAACACCATGCCCAGCTAATTTTTTTGTATTTTTAGTAGAGACGGGGTTTCACCATGTTGACCAGGATGGTCTTGATCTCTTGACCTCGTGATCCACCCGCCTCGGCCTCCCAAAGTGCTGGGATTACAGGCTTGAGCCACCGTGCCCCGCCCTTTATTATTATTTTTTATTGAGACCGAGTCTTGCCCTGTCACCCAGACTGGAGTGTGGTGGCATGATCTTGGCTCACTGCATCCTCCACCTTGCAGGTTCAAGCAATTGACATGTCTCAGCCTCCCGAGTAGCTAGGATTATAGCATTGCACCACCATACCCAGCTAATTTTTTTTGCCATGTTGGCCTGACTGGTACCTCAGGTGATCTACCCGCCTCAGCCTCTCAAAGTGCTGGGATTACAGGCATGTGCCACTGCAGCCGGCCTCTAGATATGTTTGGATACATAAATACTTACTAATGTGTTACCGTTGTCTACGGTATGCAGTATAGTAACCAGCTGTACAGTTTTGCAGCCTAGGAACAATAGGCTATACCATATAGCCTAGGTGTGGCATAGGCTATATCATGTAGATTTGTGTAAGTACACACTATGATGTTCACACAGTGATGAAATTGCCTAAGGATGCGTTTCTCTGAACATATCCCTGTCAATGTATGCTCATATATGAAAGATGTCCTTTAAGGAAAATATTAGGTTTTTACCAAGTTATTGATTTATGAAATGGTTACATGTATATTAGCTTTAGCTTTCTCAAAGCATATTCATTTTTAATGTATAGGATTAAAGCATCTCTTTTTAAAAGTGATTTTAAATATAGTACAAAGTATGGCTGGTGCCATGGCTCACACTTGTAATCCCAATACTTTGGGAGGCTGAGGCAGGCGGATCACCTGAGGTTAAGGGTTGAAGACTAGCCTGGCCAACATGGTGAAACTTCATCTCTACTAAAAATACAAAAAAATTAGCCGAGCATACTGGTGGGCATTATATTATACCAACTACTTGGGAGGCTGAGGCAGGAGAATTGCTTGAACCTGGGAGGCAGAGGTTGCAGTGAGCCAAGAGTGACAAAGCAAGACTCCAACTCAAAACAAAACAAAACAAAAAACAAACCCAACGAAAAGTACATTCACATTGAGAATCTCTTGTACTAAAGGTTTTTCAATATGCGCATGAAGAGTATGATGTTATAGTTTGCTTATGTTACGCACATAATTAAGTCGTACATTTTCTTAATTCTTTTTTATTTCAGAGAAAGAGTTTTGAAGAAAACTGGGCATAGGCTCAGCAAAACCAAACAGAAGAGAAACAGAAAAAGAAACAAAAAGCAGAACAGTCAGAGTAAAATCATGGAGGAAAACTCATTTGAATTCTCAAATGACCTTACACCAGGAGATCAGGACCCAACTCAGAGGGAAGAGGAAGAAATTGAAAAGACCAGAAGAGAATCGGAATACCCCTTCACTGGTGGTCTACAAAATGAAGTCAGAGATTTTGTGAATGGGTATAAAGAAAAAGGATGGAAAAACTTACATCCTAAAGACAGTTTCCAAAACGTTATGTCTATAGTTGAATTAGACAACACACCAAAGAATTCCCTCTCTAAGGAAGGTGATAACTTGTTTTTAAGTTTGTCATGGATGCTAAATCAAAGCGCTGTTACTTGTCCAATAGTGACTCAAAATCTTTCCTGTGTAACAACTGATGACTGCTCTGGCATGAAGGTAGAAAAGCATATTAGAAATAAGCATACCATAGCATGGGACATCCAGGACCTTCCTGTGGAAACTTCATGTTTATTTATGAAGAAGAGAGAAATAGTAGATAAAAATCTCCCACATCAACCCATTCTGTGCCCTCAACATGGAACCAGAATGTCAGATAATGTTTTAAGAGAGGAACAGTTGTATGCAACTAAAATCAATTACTGGGCTTTTTTCACAACCAATTTATCTGAAGAAGATTTACAGTTGGGCTCTGATAGACAGCCGTATTTTGGTAGCTGGCCTGCAGGACTTCTTAAGTTTGTATGTGAACAGAGACCAAAGAAAGATAGAGCACATAAGCTGACTGGTCCTGACAGCAGAGGGCAATGGATTCAATTGATCTTCACTTCCATGGGAGCATCAGAACCAGGAAGCAGTCCAGAAATACTGATAGACAAGCTACTGATAGGAAATGAAGATTTTTCACCTCCACCTGAAACTATAGATTCATTCATAGAAACAAACCTCTTCAGAAGCTGCTTACCTCAGCTGGATGTACCAAAGAATGCCTTGGAATCAACACAAAATAAGAAAAGGAGGCAGAAAAGGATTTTCAATTTGGTACCAAACTTTAGCTTATTAGGACAGAATCATATAAATGTAAAAGAAAGGGAGAAATGTGACCTGTTAACAAAAGCCCAAGGAGTAAAAATTATTTTGGGAGAAGAAAAAGACAGAATTTCAGAAAGGAACAGTGAAGAAGAGAATAAGCAAAAACTTATGACCTTTGATCATCATCCATTGTGGTTTTACCTTGATATTATCAAAGCTCCCCTTCTAAATAGTGGTGGACAGTATTATTCTCATTTGCCTAAAGACTCAAAGCACAGACTAAGGTGCTTTGCGTCTTTCTACGAAAATTATATTCCTTCTCTTGTGCTACATTATATATCTAGTATTTGGAAGGCAACTTTTACAAACAAACTGTTTTTGACTTTCGAATCTCAGACAAGAGAGGGTAATAAAAAAAATGACGCAGGGTTTATTTCTCCAGAAATTTTACACAGTCAACCTGACACTTCATGCTCTTTGGGAGTCGCTTCTGATTTTCAGTTTTTAAATGAAAGGTTTGACGGAAAGCTGAAGAGATGGGAAGAACCTAAGCAATTACCGGCTGAGGACAGCCAAGGCCTGACAAGCACTGACGCTACTTCCCTTGGGCTGCCATTAACACAAGGGTTTGCCTTTCAACTGGTAAAGCTTTTTGGATCTCCAGGCATTCCAATGGGTAAATTGTGTGTGTGTGTGTGTGTGTGTGTGTGTGTGTGTGTGTGTGTGTGTTTTGCTAAAAGTAAAAGATCTAGTTTAACATATGTAAGTAATTTTGGAGGTGTTTCTATCTGGTGGTTAGTGATTTCATGCAGTTTATTGATCTTGTGATGCTTTTCAGCAGTGAGTGAGGACCCATAACAAACGGTGCTTGATCTTCAAAGTCTCCCCTTTGCTGCTGGTAGTCTTCACGTTTCCCTCAATGTCTTTGAGAATGTGGACTACTTGGACCCTCAATTTCAATAGATACTGGGAAAAATGAAAGATGAAGCAGGAAAAAGGGGTTATGTAACCAGTAGAGATGGCTGCTTAAAAAACAAAAACAAAAACTTTCTTTTTCTTTTTTTTTTTTTTTTTTGAGATGGAGTTTCACTCTTATCGCCCAGGCTGGAATACAATGGTGCGATCTCAGTGGCTCACTGCAACCTCCACCTCCCGGGTTAAAGCAGTTCTCCTGCCTGCGCCTGCCACCATGCCCAGCTAATTTTTGTATTTTTTAGTAGAGACAGGATTTCACTATGTTGTCCAGGCCGGTCTCAAACTCCTAACCTCACGTGATCCACCTGTCTCAGCCTCCAAAAGTGCAGGGATTATAGGCCTGAACTACTTTGGCTGACCGAAAAAAATCTTCCTACTTTCTGCCTTTATTTTGACACATGGCCCTTTCCTTTCTCATTCACAATTATGGCTCCCAAATACAACATTAGTAAATGGGGGATGGCAAAGACTACATGATGGAAAGATATCTGAAATACTTGAATTTGGTTTTTAAAGGCATTGTATTTGTTTAAACAGAAAAATTAGCCAGGCATGATGGTGCATGCTGTAATCCCAGTTCCTCAGGAGGCTGAGGGAGAATTGCTTGAACCTGGGAGGCGTTCAAAGGATCCTGAAGGACTCCCCTGATGAGACAGGAGTCTGACCAGTTGACTTAAAAAGCTCCTTCAGTCTCCTAAGGTTGTTATTTTGGGGCCGGGTACGTGGCTGACACCTATAATCCTAGCACTTTGGAAGGCTGAGGCCGGATGATCACTTGAGACTGGGAGTTTGAGACCAGCCTGGTCAACATGGTGAAAATCTGCCTCTACTAAAAATACAAAAATTAGCTGAGCGTGGTGGTGTGAGCCTGTAATCCCAGCTACTCAAGAGGCTGAGGCAGGAGAACTGCTTGAACCTGGGAGGCAGAGGTTGCAGTGAGCTGAGATCACACCACTGCATTACAGCCTGGGTGACAAAGCAAGACTCCACCCCAAAAAAAAAAAAGACTGTTATTGAAATGAAAAAATCTACATGTGAATGAAACAAGCAAAAATATGATTTTTTGATACTCCAACTAAATTCTTTTTGGGCTGGGCATGGTTGCTCATGCATGTAATCCCAGCAGTTTGGGAGGCCGAGGTGGATGGATCATCTGAGGTCAGGAGTTGGAGACCAGCTTGGCCAACGTGGTGAAACACCGTCTCTACCAAAAATACAAAAGTTAGCTGGGTGTGGTGGCGCATGCCTGTAATTCCAGTTACTCAAGAGGCTGAGGCAGGAGAACTGCTTGAACGCGGTAGGTGGAGGTTGCAGTGAGCCGAGATCACACCATGGCACTCCAGCCTGGGCGATAGAGACTCTGTTTCAAAAAAAAATTGTCTTCAATCATAAGCATACTTAAGATAATATCTTTATGATATTTATCCCAACTTTTCCTTACTGTAACTCAATAGCTGATACTTCCTAGTGCTCTTCCTTGGGGATAGAATCGGTAAGATTCAAGATGCCAAAACTCCAGTTTCTGCAGTTCTCCTGTATCTTGGCTTGTTACGCTGAGTGTTTTCACTTGGCTTCTAAGCTTCTGATATTCCAGATACACTTGGTCTTAGCAGTTCAGACCAAAGATTGACTAAGTCCTGGGACCAAGGAGTCGTAGTTATCAACCTGCTCTTGGGGCTCTGGCATCATGTTTATCATATTTGTAAACTGTGAATAATTACATCTTAACTATTTGCTGTAGTTTTTCTACCCACCTCCTACATGTGACCAAAGAAACATACCAGTTTTTTAGAAGTAAATGCATTTGCTTTGGGGAGCTTTAAATGATAACTGAAGACATTTTAGATCTGGGATCTTAGTCCAAGGTGCATATTCTGAATTTGTATGTAAAATTTTGGAGGTTATTTTGCACCATTTTGGGGGAGGAAGTCCATTGATTTTGTCAGCTTCTCAGGATGGGTCTATGATGCATAAAGATGAACAATCATTGCCTTAGAGAGGCACCAGAATGCATGAAGGCACTATTGTGAAAGTATTCTAAGCCGCCTCTGACCTTGAATGCACAATAACATCATAATCAACAATAATCAAGCATCCATTAATTAAATTTCAGAAAGCTTTTTAAAGGAAATAGACCTCATTCATCAAACAGCTCACCTTCTAAATGCGGAGACAAGACTAAGATAAAACAAAATTACTGGACATAGAAAATGTAAATGATAAGCTATGAATATTTTAGGAGTGAGAATTGTAGTGCTAAAAGGATTGTAGAAGAGAATTTGAGGTTATAGTTTTGTCTGGAATGCCTTCCATGTGGAAGCGCATTATAAGTACTGTTTATACAAGGGAGAAAGTATGTAGCTTGAAAGAAAAACAGAGGGAAAGAATTTCATCGTTGGAAATGGCATGTACTTGGAAGGGGAAAGGGGAAACCATAAGCAGAGGCTATGAAGTGATTTGTTTGGCTAGATTGGACAAGCCAAGCTTGTGGTCAGTGGCCTTGTAAATAAGGCAAGAACTCAGATGAATCCTAGTATTCGAGTCTGGGTAGTGTTTACTGATTGAGATCTGAGACAAACTCCAGCTTTAGACATCACCGAAATATCTTTAAAACCAGACTTTTAATGATATGGTGAGTTAGATATCAGGTTTGCCTGTTTTCACACTTAGGGTAAAAATCTGTGTGACATTAGGGATGAGATTAGTTCTTTCTTTTTTTCACAGAGTCCTTGTTGCCTAATGACTATGTGGTTCCCCTTGACTGGAAGACACTAAAGATGATCTACCTGCAATGGAAGATGTCAGTGGAGGTACATATATTTATATTATATATATATATATATATATATATATATATATTTTTTTTTTTTTTTTTTTTTTTTTTGGTGGGGGATGGAATTTCGCTCTTGTTGTGCAGGCTGGAGTGCAATGGCACGATCTCAGCTCACCACAACCTCTGACTCCTGGGTTCAAGAGAGTCTCCTGCCGGGCGTGGTGGCTCACGCCTGTAATCCCAGCACTTTGGGAGGCCGAGGCGGGTGGATCACGAGGTCAAGAGATTGAGACCATCCTGGTCAACATGGTGAAACCCCGTCTCTACAAAAAAATACAAAAAATTAGCTGGGCATGGTGGTGCGTACCTGTAATCCCAGCTCCTTAGGAGGCTGAGGCAGGAGAATTGCCTGAACCCAGGAGGCGGAGGTTACGATGAGCCGAGATCGCGCGATCGCACTCCAGTCTGGGTAACGAGCGAAACTCCGTCTCAAAAAAAAAAAAAAAGAAAAAAAAGAGATTCTCCTTCCTCTGCCTCTGCCTCCCAAGTAGCTGGGATTACAGGCATGTGCCACTATGCCTGGCTAATTTTTTGTATTTTTAGTGGAGACTGGGTTTCTCCATGTTGGTCAATCTGGCCTTGAACTCCGGACCTCAGGTGATTCACCTACTTCAGCCTCCCAGAGTGCTGGGATTACAGGTGTGAGCCACTGCACCTGGCCAGTGAAGGTATATTTTTTTGGCTTTCAAATAGAAACCACTGTTCTATTCTCTACTTCTGTGAGCTTAACTTTTCAGATTTCACATATGAGTGAAATCATGTAGTATATGTTTTTCTGTGTCTGGCTTATTTCAGTTAACATAATTTCTTCCAGGTTCATCCATGTTGTTGCAAATGACAGGATTTCATCCTTTTTTATGGCTAGATATTATTCCATTGTATAAGCTGTGGTGTGCATTGCATTGCAAGGTGGCTATAGTTAACTATAGTTAACAATAATGTATTATATTTCAAAATAGCTAGAGGAAAGGATTTTGAATGTTCTGACTACAAAGAAATAATAAATGTTGAAGTGATATATATGCTAATTACCATGATTTGATCATTACACAATGTACACATGTATCAAAACACATTATGGTCAGAAATACGTACAATTATGTGTCAATAAATTTTTTTAAATTATGGAATAAAAAATAAAATTAGAGAAGGTCTGTTTATCAAACTTGAGAGAAGTGCTACGTACCTTAAATTATAAAAAGAATGTCTATGGATGGTGATCGGTGGATAATATGCATGTTTTCGTTCAATTAGTCCCAAGAGAAAGTTGCATTTAATTCCCTAACTTCATGGAGGAAAATCCAAGCATAGGGACTCACTGGGGATGACTGAGGTGCCCACTTTAGGAGAGTCCTTTTTTCTTCATTACACCTTTTTTCCTGTCCAGCCCTCAGCCTTATCCCTTATGATAGAGTAACAGCTACAAATTAGATTTGTGTTACTTGACTTGGAGGCACCTTCCTATTGTGATCTTCGGTCCACAGTGACAGACATGACTATTCTGAGGGCTGTTCATTTTCCAGGTAGCTGAAGGAGGGCCGGCTTAGAAGGGTAGAAGGATGATAGAAAATCTGGAAGAGCCAGTACTTCACCTAAACTCGTGCGGGTGGCTGGGGTTCTGTTCACATTAGTTGGTTATTATTTAAATGTGCCCAGAGGCAATGCTAGGGGTGCATTTTGAAATGAATAGTAAAATCAAAATATAGTGAACCATTACAGAACTAATAGTTCAGGACAGTAGGTACTTCTTAACTGTTCTCATAAACACTGCTATGGGAAAGTAGACTCATTTTGTCTGTTCGTTTAGTAAAATCAAATATAGTTTTTCTCAACTTCTTGTTTCTCCTTATTTCCCATGGAGACCTTATTGCCACTTAAAACACACATACACACACAGAGAGCAGTGTTTTAAATGTTCACATTGACATTTGTGGCCAGGCGCGGTGGCTCATGACTTGTAATCCCAGCATTTTGGGAGGTTAAGATGGGTGGATCACCTGAGGTCAGGAGTTTGAGACCAGCCTGGTCAACATGGTGAAACCCCATCTCTACTAAAAACACACAAAAAATGAGCCATGTGTGGTGGTGCTTGCCTGTAATCCCAGCTACTTGGGAGGCTGAGTTAGGGGAATCACTAGAACCTGCAAGGCGGAAGATGCAGTGTGCCAAGATCATGCCACTGCGCTCCAGCCTGGGCGACAGGACAAGACTCCGTCTCAATAAATAAATGCATTAATTAACGTATTTATTTATAATATGTTTATTATATTTCTTTATCTCTTTTTTTTTGAGACAGAGTCTCACTCTCTCGCCCAGGCTAGAATATAGTGGCGAGATCTAAGCTTACTGCAACTTCTAGCTCCGAAGTTCAAGCGATTCTCTTGCCTCAGCCTCCCCATGTAGTGGGACTACAGCCATGCCCCACCACGCCTAGCTAATTTTTGTATTTTTAGTAGATACAAGTCTCACCATATTGGCCAGGCTGGTCTCGAACTCCTGACCTCAGGTTATCTGCCCACCTTGGTCTACCAAAGTGCTGAGATTACAGGTGTAAGCCACCATTATATTTCTTTTGTCACTTTAGGAGTGTCCCTACATGAGTAAAATGACAGTGCAAACTTAATTCCAATGCCAAATATTAATATTCTATGTATTTTAATTATAATTTCTAGAAAAGACAGAAGAAGATTGGTGGAAAAATGAAAATTCCTTGAACTGTAAGTACGACTTATTCTAGAGACCTCTGTATGATCATAAAGAAGTGAATGTTGACATTATTTAGTTGTAATAGCTCATACGTATTATACCACAACTGAAGAGTAAAATATGAAAAATGAAGTTTGTTACCATAGCAACCTTGTGTGCTGTTGTACATGTGATGTTTTTATTCCCTTTAAGTGTAGATCTTTTTGTGAAATATAACAAATCTTAGATTGTTGCTCCCAAATTAATTTTCTCACTTTGTTGGTTAGAACATATTTTACAGCATTCTATCTACACACAATTTATGAGACATTTTCCCCCTTGGGTTGGTATGTGATGAGGGCTGGCAATGAGAGGTGTAGGTTCTATTTAAATTAGATTCTCTAGGAAAAGAGGTAAAACATACAGACAAACTCATGTTATATTTTAAACTTATCAAGCTAACATTAAAATAAACACATTGCACTTTTAAAAAAATGACTACATTATGAAATAAACACAGCTGCTATGATTTCAGTGCATATATGTCTATATTTGATAAGAATTGAATGCACTGTGCATTTACCATATGTTTTTTCATTTTAACTTACTTCTAAGAGTATTCTGGTTTCCATTTCTCAACTAGAAATACATGCATATCCTGTAAAAATACTGTTTGTTTGTTTTCATCCTGCTTCCCCTGAAAGAAGAGGAAGAACGGAAGATTTGGGAGAAGAGTTTGGAGGTTTTCGGGGCCCTTAGAAAAATGTGGGATAAATATGGTACAGGAGGGGATAAGAGCCTATGAGGAATTCCAGAGGAAGGAAGTGAAGACATTCATACAATTATTGAGCAAATGTGGCTGGATGTGGTGGCTCACACCTGTAATCCCAGGACTTGGGAGGCCAAGGCAGGAGAATCACCCAAGCTCAGGAGTTCAAGACCAGCCTGGCCAGCATGGTGAAACTCCATCTCAACTGAAAATACAAAATTTAGCGCTGGGCACGGTGGCTCAAGCCTGTAATCCCAGCACTTTGGGAGGCCGAGGCGGGTGGATCACGAAGTCAAGAGATCAAGACCATCCTGGTCAACTTGGTGAAACCCCGTCTCTACTAAAAATACAAAAAATTAGCTGGGCATGGTGGTACGTGCCTGTAATCCCAGCTACTCAGGAGGCTGAGGCAGGAGAATTGCCTGAACCCAGGAGGCGGAGGTTGCGGTGAGCCGAGATCGTGCCATTGCACTCCAGCCTGGGTAACGAGCGAAACTCCGTCTCAAAAAAAAAAAAAAAAGAAAAAGAAAATAAAAAAACTTAGCCGGACATGGTGGCAGGTGCCTGTAATCCGAGCTACTTGGGAGGCTGAGGCAAGATAATTGCTTGAACCCGCGAGGCAGAGGTTGTGATGAGCCGAGATCACCCCACTGCACTCCAGCCTGGGTGACAGAGGGAGACTCTGTCTCAAAAGAAATTATTCAGCAAATATTTATTGAGTTGCCTCATGTTAGACACTGAAGATATAGCAGTAAAAACACCCCTCCTCTCATGGAATTTATGTTGTAGGGATTGGAGTTAATGCCATAGCATGTTGGGCAAGGACTTGGCTGAATGAGCCTCTAGCCTACTCCTGACTGAAGTTATATTATAGTGAGTGAGGTTCCCCTAGATGGCCCCAGCGTGAGGAGACACCAATACAAGCAGCATGCAACAAGCATGGATATATTTTGCTGTGGCCAATTTTGGGAGTCTTTTCTGTCTGCTACAATTGGTAGCTTTGTTTCAAGGACGCTTTGGGGACCATAATTCTGATTTTCATGTCGATCTCCCATATGTATCCTAAACTGTCTAGTCTTCTCCTCACAGAGCATTCTGCCCTTAATTATGATTTTTTTTCTTTTTACGGAATTTTATGAGTGCTGTAGCAATGTGCAGATTTTTTTTTTTTTTTTTTTAACAATTTTATTGAGAAAGGGCATCCTGTTTTGTGTTTGGCATTAAAGTACTGACCAGTCTGTCTCAAGGGGTAAACAGAAATTTAGAAGGAGTGAAATAGCAGGAGAATCTGGGTGGCTCTGGGAGCTACAAGCTCAGTGCCCATTTAAAAAAATTCTCCCTGCTGGTTGTCAGGTGTTTGATGTTGTGGCACTCCAGTATGGTGGTGGGGTGGGGCGCTAGGAAGAGGATGGGTCCTCATCCTAAAGCTCCCCCTGATATGTGAGTACCATATTTATCCCACATTTTTCTAATGGCCCCTCTGTGTGACCCTAAACAGAGGACCCTTCTCAGAGTCTCAGTTTCTTCATTTGTAAAAGACAGATTTATCTTTTAAATGAAAATTAAATGAAATAACTTTGCAAAGTTATTAAATGAAAAAAACTGTGCAAAGTATGGAGCCTAGTGCCTGAAAAATAATAGACTCTTTTTTTTTTTTTTTTTTTTGAGACGGAGTTTCGCTCTTCTTACCCAGGCTGGAGTGCAATGGCGCGATCTCGGCTCACCACAACCTCCGCCTCCTGGGTTCAGGCAATTCTCCTGCCTCAGCCTCCTGAGTAGCTGGGATTACAGGCACGTGTCACCATGCCCAGCTAATTTTTTTGTATTTTTAGTAGAGACGGGGTTTCACCATGTTGACCAGGATGGTTTCGATCTCGATCTCTTGACCTCGTGATCCACCCGCCTCGGCCTCCCAAAGTGCTGGGATTACAGGCTTGAGCCACCGTGCCCGGCTAATAATAGACTCTTAATAAGAGTTAATTACCTTCCCCTAAATACTGCCTTGGGTTAAAGCATTACCTTTTTTTTTTTTTTTTTTTTGAGACGGAGTTTCGCTCTTGTTACCCAGGCTGGAGTGCAATGGTGCGATCTCGGCTCACCGCAACCTCCACCTCCTGGGTTCGGGCAATTCTCCTGCCTCAGCCTCCTGAGTAGCTGGGATTACAGGCACGTGCTGCCATGCCCAACTAATTTTTTGTATTTTTAGTAGAGACGAGGTTTCACCATGTTGACCAGGATGGTCGCGAATCTCTTGACCTCGTGATCCACCCACCTCAGCCTCCCAAAGTGCTGGGATTACAGGCTTGAGCCGTGCTTGGCCGCCTTTTTTTTTTTTGAGACAGAGTCTTGCTCTTGTTGCCCAGGCAGGAGTGCAGTGGTGTGATCCCGGCTCACTGCAACCTCCACCTTCCTGGATTCAAGCAATTCTCCTGCCTCAGCCTCCCAAGTAACTGGTATTACAGGCATCTGCCACCATGGTCGGCTAAATTTTTTTTTGTATTTTTAGTAGAGACAGGTTTTACCATGTTGGCCAGGCTTGCCTCAAACTTCTGACCTCATGATCTGCCTGCCGTTGGCTTCCCAAAGTGCTGGGATTTCAGGGGTGAGCCACCACACCCAGCCTTTTTTTTTTTTTTTTTTTGAGATCGAGTCTCAGTCTGTTGCCCAGGCTGGAGTGTAGTAGCTCACTGCAACCTCCACCTCCTGGGTTTAAGCGATTCTCCTACCTCAGCCTCTTGAGTAGCTGGGATTATAGGCACCTACCATTACAAACGGCTAATTTTTATATTTTTAGTATTTTAGAGAAGAGCTTTTGCCACGTTGGCCAGACTGGTCTTGAATTCCTGACCTCAGGTGATTCATCTGCCTCAGCCTCCCAAGGTGCTGGGATTACAGGCATGAGCCACCATGCCCAGCCAAAGCATTGTCTTTAGAATGCTCCCTGGCAGAATAGAAATTGTGTTCTTTAGGAGAGGAGCATATTGGCCCAGCAAACTTGTTAACACATTTGCATGAATTAGTGCATTTGTTTTTAATTTTTTGTAATGTACATAGTTGGATCCTCAGGGAATGGAATCTAGAACAAGTTTCAGCTGAAGGACAGAGAGTTGGGAAATATCACGTAACAGGTTCTTGAATGAGCCATCAGGACTAAGCAGCGTGGACTGCAGGGACGTTTGAAAAGTCTTGGATGCCGGGGGGTTGCATAGCTTAAGAAGTAAAGGCTGGGAACCTGAAAACAAACTCTGTTCTTGTCACGTGCTTTCTGGTCTTGTCTGGACTTGTGTTTGTTTGTAGTTGAGTTCTGCCATCTTCGTGGTGCTGCTGAAGATCCTGATAACGGAAAAAAGTCAGAGTGCCCTGTGACAACCCAAGAAATTCTTTCCAGAGACATACCCATTGGATACCAAAATCAGTTTGGATAATCTGTCCAACCATTCTTGATAAGTTATCTGAATAATAAAAAAAAACTCAAGAGAGGAGGTAACAGTTTGAACATTTTATTGTCTAATTTGAAGATGTTTGCCTATTTGTTTGATAGAAGAAAATGAGGCACAGAAAAACTTGAGTACCTTATTTTTAAAATCGCATTAGGATTAAAAGGTTAGCCTGTAGTATATCCGAGTATTGGTCTGTGATCCCATTTCTAGAACTCTGAAATCTAAAAAGCTCAGAAAACCAAAAGTTATTTTTCCAAATATTTTCATTGTGGTAAAATACACAAATATAAAATTTACCATCTCACCCACTTTTAAGTGTGTTATAAATACATTCATGCTGCCATCACTAGCATCCATCTCCAGAACTCTTTTCATCTTGCAAAACTGCAATTCTATACCCATTAAACTACGACCCATTCCCCCTTCCCCTCAGCCTCTGGCAACCACTGTTTTTTTTTTTTTTTTAAGTAAGTTTGACATTGAAAGTAAGTTGGGAGCCAAACCTGACCCAAATATGAACTGGGCATGGTGGCTTACACCTATAATCCCAGCACTTTGGGAGGCTGAGGCAGGAGGATCACTGGAGCCCAGGAATTCGAGACCAGCCTGGGCAACATGATGAAACCCATCTCTACAAAATATACAAAAATTAGCCAGGTGTGGTGGCACACACCTGTATTCCCAGGTTCTCAGGAGCCTTAGGTGGGGAGGATCGCTTGAGCACAGGAGGCAGAGATTGCAGTGAGCCAAGAAAAAAAACCCGACCCAAAAAGGCAGACAATTAATTTTACTCCCTGTTTATCTCACCTGGAATGTATAAAGCATATCCATATATTTCACTGCAGATATGTTAATGTATTTAATTTCTGAGGGCTATGCCACACCCCACTGGGAATATAGGATAATGGATAGTACTATTACCTTTTTTTTTTTTTTTTTTTTTTTGAGACAGAGTGTCGCTCTTGTTACCCAGGCTGGAGTGCAATGGCGCGATCTCAGCTCACCGCAACCTCCGCCTCCTGGGCTCAGGCAATTCTCCTGCCTCAGCCTCCTGAGTAGCTGGGATTACAGGCACGCACCACCATGCCCAGCTAATTTTTTGTATTTTTAGTAGAGACGGGGTTTCACCACGTTGACCAGGATGGTCTCGATCTCTCGACCTCATGATCCACCCGCCTTGGCCTCCCAAAGTGCTGGGATTACAGTGCTGGGATTGAGCCACCGCGCCGGGCCTAGTACTATTACCTT